GCCTGAAATAGATTAAGGACGGTAAGTTTTAGACTAAGTGCTCACATCTATAATCCCAGCACATTGGGAGGCTAAGGCGGGTGGATCACTTGAGGTCAGGAGTTCAAGACCAGCCTGGCCAACGTGGTAAAACCCCATCTCTACTAAAAATACAAAAATAAACTGGGCATGGTTGTGCACATCTTTAATCCCAGCTACTCAGGAAGCTGAGGCAGGAGGATTACTTGAATCTGGGGGGTGGAAGTTGCAGTGAGCTGAGATTATGTCACTGCACTCCAGCCTGGGCAACAGAGCGTGATTCCATCTCAAAAAAAGATAATAAAGTTTATGTTATATGTTTTTACAGTAATAAATTTTTTAAGAGAAAAACTGAAAAAAATACAGAATTATAAATCCTTTCAAAAGTTACTTCAAATCACAGAAGTATTTTTCTCATACACAAAAAATATATATTCATCATTAAACACATGGTAAAAATACGACTATTTCCATGTTGGATAAAACAACCACTAAAAATCAACTAAAGGCCAGGTGCAGTGACTCACGCCTGTAATCCCAACACTTCAGGAGGATGAGGCAGGCAGATCACCTGGGGTGAGGAGTTCGAGATCATCCTGACCAATATGGTGAAACCCCATCTCTACTAAAAATACAAAACTTAACCGAGGGTCATTGCAGGCATCTGTAGTCCCAGCTACTCAGGAGGCTAAGACAGAAGAGTTGCGCGAACCCAGGCAGTGGAAGTTGTACTGAGCCGAGACGGTGCCACTGCACTCCACCCTGGGTCACAGAGCAAGACTTCAACTCAAAAAAAAAAAAAAAAAAAAAAAAAAAAAAAATCAGGCTGGGCGCGGTGGCTCAAGCCTGTAATCCCAGCACTTTGGGAGGCCGAGGCGGGTGGATCACGAGGTCAAGAGATCGAGACCAACCTGGTCAACGTGGTGAAACCCCGTCTCTACTAAAAATACAAAAAATTAGCTGGGCATGGTGGCACGTGCCTGTAATCCCAGCTACTCAGGAGGCTGAGGCAGGAGAATTGC